TGTTGTTCTAACTTATTTTAGTTAATTATCTTTTATTAAATAAATATTATTGTTTAGACGCTCATTTTTGCAATTAGTGACAAATAAATTATTAAAAGGGTAATAGCACATAATGTCCCTACTTTTCACTATTATTGCAAAAAAGTCCCTACCTTTTAATTTTTTTTGACACTCTCACCCTTAATTACACATTTAATTGTGCAAGCCATCATTTTTATCTATTTCTCATCCAATTTCTCAATAAAAAGCTTTGAAATGACGAATATAATATTCTATTTAAATAAAAAGTTAAAGAATTAATTACAACCATAGTCCCAATTTTTTTTAAAAAGTGCAAACAAGTCCCCAATAAATTATTTTAAAAATTAATTTTTTTTAAAAAGTGCAAACGAGTCCCAAATAAATTATGAAAGAATTAGAAATTAAAAATATTTTTTTATTTAAATATGAGGGTATATTCATTATTTTACAATTCTTTATTGAAAAATTGGATGAAAATGATGGTTTGCATAATTAAATGTGTAATTAAGGGTGAAAATGTCAAAAAAAATTAAAGGTAAGGACGTTTTTTGCAATAACAGTGAAAAGATATATACATTATGTGCTAATTACCCTTTTAATAACTTATTTGTGACTTATTTGCACTTTTTTAAAAAAAAATGAGACTGTGATTGCAATTGTATTTTATTTTTCCTTTTGTGTTTATTTAAAGAGAATTGTATATTCGTCATTTCATAATTTTTAATTGAGAAAATATGTGAAAATGACATTTTGTGTAATGAAATGTGAAAATAGTGAAAATGTCAAAAAAATTAAAGGTTGTGACGTTTTCCACAATAATAATGAAAGGTGGGGACGTTATGTGCTAATTACCTTTAGAATTTCATATTAATTATATTTTTTGTAATTTGAAATTCATTTTTTGTGATAGACACTGTTTAATAAGTTCTTGTGAATGTGAAGAAAATATGCATGTGCACAATTTTAAGTGACATGATGTTTAAATAATCTTTAAAAACAAAATCAAGAACTAGAATTCAAACTAAAATAGCACTCAAAAGATTATGGATTTGTCTTTGTTGCGAAGTCATATTGGATCGTTGTTGCCTTACCGACTTATTTTTAAATTGAAGTGTTGTTCCTTTCTCAGTTTGTTATTAAATAACATGCTTACCGGCTTAATGTTAAATAACATGATTGAAATAATCACAAAATTTACCTCCACGGTAGTGATGACGTGTGGGGTGTTCCGGCTGCTCCGATCAACAAATGTTACCTACAAAAATGAGGTTGGGGCTTTCTCACACGTTGTACCTCTGGTGTGAGAATCAGTCGTTACTTAAGGGAAATAGGAAGAATGTATATTGATAATTCAAACAGTTCGGATTTCAAGATGCAATACATTTTCTCACATTGTGGTATTTATAGGCACCTGATGGCACGCCCCCTGTTCCACGATTAACTGTGCCACGTGTCCCACGTATGTCTTCCCACTCCCCCACGTTCTATAGCGTTGACACCCACTCATATTGCGGTTGGTCATGGCCACGTTTGCTGTTGGACGGTTTTCGTCTATCTCTTGGCCATGTTTGATGTTGGGTGGTTTTCGTCTATCTCACGGCCATTTATTTGGCTAAGTATAGTGGGGGTCGACGTCGTTGGCCTCATAATGGTAGACGGCCCATGTGAGCGTAGAGGACCCCCGGGGGGTCGACATCCTGGGGGACGTGCGTTAAGTAGCGATCATGGAGAGAAATTGTTAATACCATCTTATATCACTAGCCCCTCTGCCTCTTGTTGATATTTATCGATGAGAGGTAGCATTTTATGACGTTGAATGAAAGTTTAGGGTTCAAACCGACTGGAAATGGGAAAACGAAAATATTGCGAAAATTTCAACTGCCCGATAGAAGGCCTTAAATGCGCTAGGAGTAAGGTGGGGGTCGACGTCGTTGGCCTCATAATGGTAGACGGCCCATGTGAGCGTAGAGTGCCCCCGGGGGTGGACGTCTGGGGGGGCGTGCGTGGTCGACGTCCTGGGGGGCGTGCGTTAAGTAGCGATCATCGAGGGAAATTGTTAATACCATCTTATATCACTGATTTTTCATTCAAGAGGAAAGACATTTTTCATTTTCTGAAAAGATATGTCAATTTAGCTAAAGTACACTCTATGATGTTTTGACTAAAAATAGATCAATCTTCAATTTATATCATGCAACAAACACTTCATGAATGAGAGCATATTGAGAAAATAAATCTATATTCTTTCTCACTACTTTTTATAAGTCTTGACTTTATTATGCAAGTGCTCGACTCTATATATAAAACTAAATAAATGCTATATGTTTTCGATGAGGATTATACTCATATCCTGTGACACGTGATTTAAGGGTGATACGAAAAGATAAATATGTACATATGAGCAAGGGTGGATAGAGTGGGTAGCTAGATCGGACTACTTAGCCCATATAACGTTTTGAACCAACTTTTTTATTTTTATTTTTTAATGCGAACCCATGTCAAAAAAATTACAGCCCAAGTCCTCACCCTAAATTTAAACTCACATACTTTCTTTAATTTTTTTTAATTGAAATAATGTTGATTTTTAATCTTAATTGGAATTTTTTATTGAGTAATTACATCAAATGGATCTTGATCATTGTGATTTTAATTATATTCCCTAGAAGATCCATTCGATAGTGTTGATTTTTTTATTTTTATTTTTACGTAGGAACCACAACCGCTACTCGCCAGTGGAGCCCCTACCACCCCGAAGGGGTAGATGTCCGACCACTGTGAGTGCGCACTAGGCAAACTCTGCTCCATGTACAGTAACCCGCAAATCACACGAGAAAGGTAAATCGCACTAAGCAAGCTCAGTACCGCGGACTCGACAGAGGAAGTGTTGACAAGGGATTCGAACTCGTGATCTTTGGTCTCCGCGTTCACCTGCTCCACCAACTCGACCACCCTTGAAGAGGGTCCTAGTCTTGATTTTTAATCTTAATTGGAATTGTTTATTGAAAAATTACATCACGTGGATCTTGATTATTGCGAAATGCAGAAGCCCATGTCTACAGCTCATTGGATCTTAGATTATTGTGATATGCAGAAGCACATGTCTACAGCTCATTGGTTATTGTTCTAACTTATTTAGTTAATTGTCTTTTATTAAATATAAATTATTGTTTAGACGCTCATTTTTGCAATTAGAATTTCATATTAATTATATTTTTTGTAATTTGATACATGTGCACAATTTTAAGTGACATGATGTTTAAATAATCTTTTTTTTAAAAAAAATCAAGAACTCTAAACAAAATCTAGAATTCAAACTAAAATAGCATTCAAAAGATTATTGATTTGTCTTTGTTGCAAAGTCATATTGGACCATATGTATTATCGGATCGTTGTTGCCTTACCGACTTATTTTTAAATTGAAGTGTTGTTCCTTTCTCAGTTTGTTATTTGTTATTAAATAACGTGCTTACCGGTTTAATGTTGAATTATTGTTGCCTGATTTTTCATTATTGATTTATTGTTGCATTGTCTCTTCATTTTTATTTTTATTTTTCCATAGTTTTTAGAATTTACAAATGGAATGTCAACTTTGAGCTAGAGAGGAAATACATTTTTCATTTTATGAAAAGATATGTCAATTTAGCTAAAGTACAGTCTATGATGGATTGACTAAAAATAAATCGATCTTCAATTTATATCACGCAACACTTCATGAATGAGAGCTTAATGAGAAAGTAAATTTAAATTCTATTATAGATGAATATTATATTTCAAATGTTCGATGGGAACGACTTAAATAAATAATATCGTTTAAAAAATTTTTATTATATAAATTTTAGTACATTCACTTGATATATTTAAAAAAAAAAATTTGTGAATGCGTCCCTCGAGACTCACTCGATCATATGATTTATCCAAGTGAATTCATGTATCATCATTACTATATAAAATTACATGTTAAGAGAAGGTTCAACAATATTTGCTCAAGATCGACAAAAATACACACAACTAAGAACTTAAAGAAAGTACTAAAAGAAAGGAATCTCATTAATCGTTGCCCTCATGCAAAACCTAATTTACACCAGTGCCTCAGTCATTGAAAAACAACCACTGTCATTCAGAATGGAACACAATCAAGGAAAAATGAACATATCTAGATATTCAGACAAAACTCTTAAAAGATCACAGTAAATCAGCCTTCACTCAAGAACACATGTTCACACAAGAACATCACATTCAACTCAAACTAGAAATCACTCGAGATTACAACATTTGAGAGAAACCACAAAATCAAAAGAGTATTTTGATTTTCAGAGAGAATGAGAGTCAAGAGCTCGAACGGGGCAAACAAAGAAATCAGAGAGAGTGTACAGTTCCAACCCTAGGAGGCTTTTTATATGAGTCACCCAAAGATCTTCATCCAACGGTCTTGGAGATGACACTTGGCAACATCACAAGCATCCATTTCAATTAAAAATGGAGAAACAAGGCTTTTCCAATTAAACACGACTTTGCACCAATTCAATAATCAAAGAATAAATCAACTGGTCGTTCATCTCAATTAGCAGGTTGTAATGCATCATTGTGCCAACCTTTCATTACATCAAATGGATATATACTTGCATTTTAATAATATTGTGATTTGCAGAAGCGCATAGATATATACTTGCATTTTAATAATATTCCCTAGAAGTCCCATTCAATAGTGCACTCAGGTTCCTAATTTTTGATTCGACCAATCTTTTCTCTCAATTTTATTATCAAAACAAAACAAAGCAAATACAAATATTTCATGCTTAACCCTCAAAGATGAATTATTATACATATTTTTTTTTAACTGTATATAAAATTAAGTCCAAAATAACTTCACGCTTATCTGCCAAACATGCCTTTAGCTCAGCTTATAACTCTATAAAAGGGTAAGTAGAATCGTTATTGATATCCATGCATAAATATATATACTTAGAGAGAGAGAGAAGATGGGTGCAGATCAATTCTTAGCCATGAATGGAGGAGATGGATATCAAAGCTATGCAAAGAACTCAGCATTCCAAGTATGTCGCATTTTTAACTTTAGGGTTAACGGGGAACTTGAAATTGCTACACACTCTTCTAATATATAAACCAGTGATTGAACTGAACCCCTTTTTGTTTTAACATTTATTTGTTTGTATGTTTTATTAGATTGTTTAATGCACCTAACATAATTTTACTTTAAATAATTTGTATTAATCAATTTTGAATATTGAATAATTATGGTACGATACAAACAAACATTTTTTTTTCATGAGAAATATTTGATGTACATGCTACGTTGCGCTTTTCATATTTGTCTTACTGAATGTCCAATATATGACATTTTCTTTTAACCGTTTTAGCTTTAAGCTACATTGATAGTGATCATTCATGGTACCGTAACTACGAAATTCTTTCTAGGAGTTTCATAGTATTCGATATAGTTAATGCTATATCTGGTTTTTATACAGAGGGGAGCAACAGAGGTTGCAAAAGAAATCATCGAAGAAGAAATTAGCAATAAACTTGACATAGAGGAGCTCTCTTCAACTTCCCCAAATATTATCCGCATCGCGGATTTTGGGTGCTCTACAGGACCTAATACCTTCCACGCAATGCAAATTATAGTTGAAACAATGAAGAAAAAAATTGAAACACAATTATCAGTTTCTCATCAGATGCCCGAGTTTCAGGTTTTCTTTAATGACCGGACCTCCAATGATTTCAATACACTTTTTGCTACACTTCCACAAAACAAACAGTACTATGCAGCTGGAGTTCCTGGTTCATTTTACGTTCGTCACTTCCCTAAGGCCTCACTTCACTTTGCTTATTCGTCTTGTTCGCTCCACTGGCTTTCTGAGGTGCCCAAAGAGGTGGTGGATCCCTCGTCTCCTGCGTGGAATAAAGGGAAAATTTTGTACTATGGAGATAAAAATGAAGTTTTCAATGCTTATGCTGCTCAATTTGCAAAGGATTTGGACTCATTCTTGAAAGCAAGGGCAGAAGAATTGGTTTTTGGAGGGCTAATGGCACTTCTTGTTGGTTCTGAGCCCAATCATACAAAGTACGCCTCTTATACCACTTTTCCGTCACTCGAACTTTTGGGGTCTTGTCTCATCGACTTGGCTAAGGAGGTAAACATTGATATTCCTTTCAACTAGTCATAGAAATCATTTTGGTCATCAAACTTTTTTGCCGTTTCAAATTAGTTACTGAACTTCTATTTTTATTTTAGTAAACGTTCATCCACCTACTTTTTCCAAAAGTAGTCGAATATGTTATAATACTTCGATTATGGCATCCGAACTGGCAAAAATGCTTCTGTTGAACTCCATACATATGCAAAGCATAACATTCAAAGAACAAGCAAATTTGGAAGGATTATTGGACATTTTAATTCACATCGTCATTTTTGTCACACAAGTTAGCAATTATGTTACTTAAAAGTTTGATAGCAGTAAATGGAGTGCTTAAACTGAAAGAAAAATAAACGTTCCATGGCTATTCTAGAACAAAAAATAGTTTAGTGGCTTGTGTTTAAGTCTTTTTTTAAATCATAACTATATAAAATGCCCTTTAAAACCCCTTCACTACTTTTTTACCCAACGATACCAAAAAAGATATACACAATAGATTTTTCTTCTTTAGTAGTGTACATTCCATGCTAGTAGTCATGAATGTTGATTTTGTTGCAGGGACTATTTGATATGGCTAAAGTAGACTCATTCAACTTGCCTACATATTTTCCATCTCCTAATGAATTGAAAGCTTTAATTGAAAGAAATCAAGATTTCAGTATAGAAAGAATGGAGATACTAAACCATCCGCCAAAACGGTTCACTACTCCTGATTCCAAATCATTTGCCTTGTTCATAAGAGCATTTATTGAGGGACTTCTACAGATTCATTTTGGAATTGAAATCATGGATGAATTGTTCAGGAGATACGAAGAAAAAGTTGAAGAAACTAAACTTCTGTCGAATCCTAATGAGAATTCTATGACAACATTTGTCCTTCTCAAGTGCAAACGGATGACTTGATATTCGATCCCTATGTTCCTAGAGGATATAGATGATGGGATCAAATGCACACTTGTTAGCTACACCTTCTTCTGTTGTTCAGTCCTATTGTCATAATAAAAAATTATTAGCAATAAAATATGTTGTGCTTTGTTGAAAGATGTAATAAATGTTTGTTTGTTGTGAGATGTAATAAATGCTTGTCTAAATATTTTCAATCATATCTTGAAGTTGTTAAAAATAAAACCCCCTTTTATAAAAACATTGAGTAACCTATCAAGACTTGAGTTACTCTTTTGAACAAGGTCGACCTGGATGTTTAAAATCAAGTTTCAATAGTGTATTAAAGCTTATAATGCTCAAGCAAACAATTCGATCACACTAGAAGATAAACTGAACAATCAAATTCTAATATTAGTGTTATCATATTGAGGGTGGATGTTAATAATAAAATCCCACCTCCCAACATGTAAGGACTTGAGTAAAATCCCACATCGATCTTTTATGATAGAGCAACATTATTCTCAATGGATTCAGTAACGGAACCCCTTAAAAATTGATGATTCTATTGCAACTAAACCTAGATCCAATTTCACTTGCATGTGTCTTGAGATAGATGTTATTGTCACTATATTGGAGCGAATTAGAGTGGGGAATGATATGACCTCAAAATAAGAGGGGTTAAGGACGGCCAGTGAGACGATGGGGGATAAGCTTCATCATCGAGAGTGAAACAACACAGATCACCAGCTAAGGCCATAAATTTGTGAATTGGCGAAATGTAGTGTTCAAAGATAATACCAATTATTGTAGAATTTGTCTTCATTTGGTATATGACTCATGGAGAAGTAAAGGGGACGAAGGAAAATGTAAAAGTTATAACCCATAAATATGCAAAGGGGAAAATACAAATGCAATTAAACGAAAATAAAAAATGCAACCTCAGAATTGAAGTCAATTTTGTTAGAATAATTTCAAAGTTTGGGCTTCCCATTTGATTGCAAACTTTATGTTTTATAAAATGGGTTAGATGTATAGCTCATAAATACTATGGTTTAGCCCAATATATTGAGTAATCACTTGGGCCTTTTTATACCTTAGTAATATAGGGTTATATCCTATGTAATGTGGTAATTTAAGTATGTAGGCTAGAAAGATCTACACCCTAATTAGGGTTGGAGTCATTTATGGGAGGGTTCAATAAGTTTTCTAGACATAATAAGAGGCTAGGTCCCCTCTTCTCTCCATATATTTTTATTGGTTTGGCTCATTGACAATTAATACTTTTGTGCAGAGCAAGAAGAGGAAGATTTAGTTACTAATATTTTCATTCAAGATGTCTTCAACAAGTATATCTCTTAAACTATGAATTTAGAATTGTGATTCTTGTTTCTTGGCAAGATTATTATTACATATAATAATTGGTATCAAAGCTACGTGCTAAGATCAGAATCATTCGTAAAATTGGCATTCTTTTTCAATTCCTACTTTTAAATTATAAAATAGTTAACACCCAATTTTCACTGTTGACTTTCTTGATATACTCCAGTACACATATTGATCTTTGGAAATGTGCATGTCATAACTAATATTTGAAGTTAAATATATAGATATGGCTAAACTTCTTGAAGATTGCTTTGGTCTAAAAATCTCCTTCTGCCTAAAGGTGTTGGTATTTCGAAAATCGATGTGATTTTGTTAATTAATTTCATGATATGTTTTAAGAGTACCTTATAGTATGTTGTATTATTAACCCAAAGGTAATTTTATAATGTTGCACTAAGGCTTTTATCGTAATAAGGTTCATATGATTTTGAGTTTTATTACGAACTATCTAATTAATAGCCCATGTTAATTAAATGAATATGTTATCATTCATTGACTGCATGCATTATGTTTGGATGATATTAAATATTTTATCTTATGTCTCCACGGTTTTAAATGCCTCATCTATTTTGAGTCAATTGTCTACTATTGAAACATTGACTAAAAATAATTATGTGAGGGAAACGCGACATAGAAATAGCATTTGGTCTTTTGGGTTTGGATTTTGCAATGGAGAAACAGCCTTCAAAACCTATGGATAAGAGCACTCCTAAATATGTGGCTGAGTATGAAAAGTGGGAAAAAGCTAACAGACTTTGTTTGAAGATTATAAACCGTTCCATATCCGATTCAATTATGAGTGCTATTCCAGACAATGAAAATGTTAAAAGTATTGTGGATGCCATAGGACAGAGACATGTTGAGTCTGATAAATCTGAAATTGGAAATTTGATGGACAAATTGATGAGTATGAGATATGATTATACAAGTGGAGTTAGAGAGCATTTTATGAAGATGATACATATATCCTTTAAGTTAAAAACTCTTAAGATTCCTATTGGAAAGCCTTTTATGGTCTTTCATGTTCTAAATAGCATTCCTAGCTAATTTAATTAGCTAAACATTGCTTATAATTCTCAGCATGATAAATAAGATTTGAATTACCTTATTGTTGTATGAGCTCAATAGGAATATAGATTATGATGTGAAATTGTTAAAACTATGCAATTAACTTTTCAGACATCACAAACAAGGAGTCTTCTCATAACTATCTAAGTTCCATAAGGACAATAAGTCATACCGCAATCAGCAGAATAAAATTTTGGAGGTCAGACTCCTGGTGGTCCCAAAGGAACTTTGAAGAAAAATGATTAATGCAAGTTCTACAAAAAGAAGGGTCATTGACAGAAAGATTATTTTTAAGTTTAATGCTTGATTAGATAAGAAGAAGAGTTCTGCATGTATCTCATTGGCCTTAGTTTGTTTTGAAGATTCATTTGTAGATGTGCCTTTGAAGTCTTGGTGGATAGACTCAGGAGCTAGTATTCATATTGTGAATTCTTTGCAGGAGTTCATAAACAAATGGAGGCCAAATGAGAACAAAGTGAGCTTGTTTGTTGGGAATGGAGTTCAAGTGAAAGTTGAATTTTAGGAGTAGTGAAGCCTTTGGTGTCTGGTTTCTCTCGTGTTTTAGATAATACAGTTTTTTATACTAAAATTTGATACTTCTGGTTTTTCCTTTAATTTTGGTAATGGAAGGTATTGAAGAGAGCAAGAGACTATTGAATGACTACATCTTTTCTTTATTGATTAATAATGAATACAAAGCATATATCTCTATTTATAAAGAAATTACATTGAGATAGAAAAGATAAATATCTTGTGAATCAAATCAAATCAAAGTGATTAACGTAAATATGAAAATCAAATTAAGACAATATCAAATCAAGATAATATTGATT